AATGTGGGGGTGGCCTTTTTGATCTCTGCTTCAAGGGGCACTGGGGACACTGGTGAGCCCTGTGGTGGAGGGACCAGTGCTGGTGTCAGGGCTGGCCGGTGTGGCTCAGTGGGTAGACCATCAGGCTGTAGACTCAAAGATCCCAGGTTTGATTCCAGTCAAGGCCATGTACCTGGGCTGCAGGCACATCCCCAGTGGGGGGTGTGCAGGAGGCAGCTGATCGATGTTTCTCTCTCATCAGTGTTTCTAACTCTCTACCCCTCTCCCTTCCTTTCTATAAAAAAATCAATAATAATAATAATAATAATAATAATAATAATAAACACAGACCAGTGCTAGCTGGTTTGGCTCCATGGATAGAGCTTGGGCCTGCAGACTGAAGGGTCCCTGGTTCGATTCTAGTCAAGGGCACGTACCTGGGTTGCAGGCTTGATCTCTGGCCCTGGTCAGCGACCAATCTCTGTGTCTCTCTCACATGGCTGTTTCTCTCTCTGTCTCTCCCCCTCCCTTCCACTCTCTCAGTGGAAAAATATCCTCGGGTGAGGAATAACAACAACAACAACAATTCTTTTTTGAATAAACTAAGGTAAAATGTAAGACAGAAAGGGGGGAAAAAGTACAAAAACAGGCCAGAGAAAAGCAGTGCCGGCCGCGGCTGGGCGGGGAGGAGATGGGGCAGTGGGCAGGGCTGTGGTATCTAGGAAGGGGAGGGTTAGGGAGGGCCTCCCGAGGGATAGGATTTTTATATCCTGCAGTTCCCAGTCCACCAGGCTCAGAGCAGAGCTCAGAAATATTTAGGGGATTAAATGAACCCAAGAGAAGCCAGGAAGTCCAGCAGGTCATGAGGGGACGCCAAGCCCTAGCTGAGCAGTTCCTGTTTTCCCCACGGGAGCTACAGAAGGTTCTCGAGCAGGTAAGTGGCAAGACCTGGGGCCAAGGGGCCGCTGAGGGAAGACGGAGGACAGGGGCATGTAGGCAGAGGGACAAGGGAGGGGAGCACTGAACTGGGGGGCGGGATCTTTAACCTTTCCCTCCATGGACCCTTGCCTGCTTGCCTGCTTGTTGGCCAGGCTGAGGCTCCTGAACGGAACCCCTTGGTTCATCTCCGCATGGGTGGGTGTGGGGGTGTGACTCTCTAGCCATACTGTCTCTGAAGCTCGGGGTACACCCCTCTCCCCCTGGCTCCCCTCTTCTCCAGCCTCACCTGAGAGAGCCTGCTTAAGGAAGGAGTCTAGTCCAAGACCCGTCTGTGGAAAGTCTGCATGGACTTGCTGTGTGACCTTGGGCAAGTCATTGCCCCCTTTTTTTTGGGGGGGGGATTTAATCCTCACCCAAGGATATTGTTCCTATTGACTTTATTTATTTATTTATTTAGTTAGTTAGTTATTTTTTCCATTGACTTTTTTTTAGAGAGAGTGGAAGGGAGGGAAGGAGGATGGGGGTGAGGGGGAGAGAGAGAAACATCGATGTGAGAGAGACCCATGGAAGGGATCTATTAGAACTTGCAACTCAGGTAAGTTAACTTGTCTGGGAATCGAGCCTGACACTCTGGTGCATGGGCTGATGCTCTAACCACTGAGCACACCTGCTCATCCTCACCGGAGGCTATTTTTTCCATTCATGTGTACAGAGTCGAAGGGAGAGGGGAAGAGATAGAAACATCGATGTGAGAGACACATCGATCAGTTGCCTCTCGCATGCACCCTGGCAGGGGCTGGGCACAAACCTACGACACTTCTGTGGCCCCCCCATGCGCTAACCACTGAGCCACATGGCCCATGGCTCATTTCTCCTCTCTCTGTTTTCACCTCCTCATTAGAATGTGGGCTGCAAATCCCTGCCCCTCCTCACCTGGGGATCCAAGACGCCCCAGACTAGCTGACTTTCCTTCTGCTTCCCATTCTGAGAAGGAGAGGCTGGCCCAGCAGGGCCTTGGAGGGTGGCATGGTCACCCTCTCCCCAGGACAAGCAGTGGAGCTAAGGGAGAGGAGGCCGGCCAGGGCCCCGCTGCCCTGTGCAGAGCGGGTGGGGGTGGAGGCTTGCTGGGTCTCCTCTCCCTTTGAGGCGGAGTTAGGGCCGGGTCCCCCAGGCCAGAGGGGCCCTGGGACCCCAGCACCTACATTGCGCCTCCGATCGGGGGCCTCTGCGTGGCGGAGCGCCCGCTTTCCTCTCTGGATCCCTGGCCCCGTGAGCAGCTCCTGTCTGTCTCACTTTCCCTGGCCGTGTGTTCCTCCCACTGTGTCTGTGCGTGTGCCACCCGCCAGGTGATTCATCCTCACCCCCACACCCAGGGGGAGGGCGGGCAGGACCAGGCCGGGATGTGCTGAGCAGGGCATGGGGAGCGGCCCAGCTGAGCCAGAGGAGCGCCTCCCGCCTCCGGCCGGGCCCTGCCTGCCCAGGTGGGAGAGGAAGTGAGGAAACTGCCCCCAAAACAAGGTACGGGGTGGGGGCAGGGGTCCATCTGGGCCCGGGGGCGCCAGGCTCCCCCAGGACTAGGATGGCACCGGGGCCTCAGTCCCCTGGGGCCTGTCTGGCTGGCCTGTGGCCAGGGCGGTGTCAGGGAGTCCGGGAAGCTGCTAGAACCCTGGGGGTTGGGCTGGTCCTTCCCTCCGGGACCAGGAGACCTAACATTCCCTGGGACTCTTATGCCGGGTGACCCTGTGGGCTGTTTCTCTGTGTGTCTGGCTGTGTTTTTGTGACACAGGCCCCATGACCCATTACAGCAGGAGGCAAGTGGTGTGTGTGTGTGTGTGTGTGTGTGTGTGTGTGTGTGTGTGTGTGGCTGAGCCCCTAAGAGCCGGGGACATCATAGACATGCTTGTTTCATGTGTAGGACCTAGTAAGTTCTGCTACATGCGTGTGTCTTTGTGTTGCTGGGCTCGTGGCAGTGTGTGGCTGTGCTGAGGTTGTGTCTCACGTGGGATAATGGCCCTGTGTGGCTGCTGTCTCTGGGACACCATGTTGCCATGTGATACTGCCATGGTGAGACATGGCGTAAGTGACACTGCGTATGTTCGAGGCTCGGTGGAGCCACGTTCGAGGAGTCTATGCACAGGTATATGATGAAGCATGTTTGGGTGACTGCGTGATCCTGTGCGACACTGTGACTGGGGGTCTTTGTGGCTACATATGACTGGGTTTTCAGGAGCGTGATGGCATGTGATTGGACCTTTGAATTTCTGTGGCTTCTGCAGTCATGTGACACAGTGAATAACACGTGTGACTCTGGGACAGGTTGGGCCCATTGGTGACTGAGATGGTGTGACACAGGGTCACAGACCCTCCATGACTGTGAGAGGAGGACATGGCTGTGGCATAGACACGCTGACACCATGTGTGGGTAGTAGCGCTTTTTTAAAAAATATGTTTTTATTGGTTTCAGAGAGGAAGGGAGAGGGAGAGAGAGATGGAAACATCAGTGATGAGAGAGAATCGTTATCGGCTGCCTCCTGCTCACCCCACACCAGAAATCAAGCCCGCAACCCGGACACGTGCCCTCGACGGGAATTGAACCCGGGCCCTTCAATCCACAGGCCGATGCTCTATAGGGTGGTACCTCTTTGTGCTGTCTTGTCCTCCAACCCTTCTGCCCACAGGATGGTCACCCGGACCCTCAGCCTGCCATCCAGCCTTGCCCTCTCTGCTCTGGCCTCCACTCACTTCTGGATCATCTGAGAGACCCCCCCCCCCCCACACACACACACACACATTCCTTCCCTGGGGGCGAATCATCTCTAGGGACTTTCTTGATACCAGGCAGACCGAATCTTCTCTGCCAAGTGTGACCATGAGGTGGGTTTAGGGAGCCTACCTCGAGGAAAGAGGGACAGTACAGTCAAAACCGGTGTGGCCCAGTGGATAGAGCCTTGGCCTGCAGACTGAAAGGTCCCAGGTTTGTTTGTTGTTGTTTTTTTTAATATATTTTATTGATTTTTTTACAGAGAGGAAGGGAGAGATATAGAGAGCTAGAAACATCAATGAGGGAGAAACATCGACCAGCTGCCTCTTGCACATCCCCCACCGGGGATGTGCCTGCAACCAAGGTACATGCCCTTGACCGGAATCGAACCCGGGACCTTTCAGTCCGCAGACCGACGCTCTACCACTGAGCCAAACCAGTTTCGGCATGAAAGGTCCCAGGTTTGATTCCGGTAGGTTTGGCTCAGCGGACCAAAGTGTCCCGGGTTCAATTCCAGTCAAGGGCATGCACTTCAGTTGCAAACTCAGCCCTGGTTGGGGGCGTGTGGGAGGCAACCGATCGATGTGTCTCTCACATCGATGTTTCTCTGTCTCTCCCCTTCCTTTCCACTCTCTCTAAAAATCAATGAAAAAATATATCCTGCCCTATCCGGTTTGGCTCAGTGGATAGAGCATCGGCCTGCGGACTGAAGGGTCCCGGGTTTGATTCCGGTCAAGGGCATGTACCTTGGTTGGGGGCACACCTTGGTAGGGGGTGTGCAGGAGGCAGCTGATCGGTGTTTCTCTCTCTCATCGATGTTTCTAACTCTATCCCTCCCTCTCCCTTCCTCTCTGTAAAAAATCAATAATATAATATAATATTATATATATATATATATATATATCTCCATCTCCTTGGGTGAGGATTAACAAAACAAAACAAAAAAAGGATGATTTAGGTTCAATGTACCCACTTTGGTCATATAAATCAGGCCTACAACTAAGCAAACTATAGGGTGCTCGCTCCCACCCCCACCTGGGTAAACTCACAGGTAAATAATGACAGGCAAGGGATCAGTGTATCGATCGCAAAGAACTCTTATCCTGTTGCCAAAGGTCTTCTCTAGTATGAAAACTCCCAGCCCCAGCTCTGGGCCTGGCTCCCCGTCTGAGGGCCGGGATAGGGGCTTCCCAGGATGGCAGCGTGGCCAGAGAGGGGGTGCCGGGAAACCCGACACCCCACACACCTGCTAAGATGCGCTCCTCCCCAGGCCCCTCCGCAGTCCCATCCGTTGCTTCACGCCCAGTCTCCCTTCCCGCAGGCCTGCACCAGGGAAACCGGATCCTGGTGAAGAGTCTGTCCCTCGACCCCGGCCAGAGCATTGAGCCTCATCCCGAGGGTCCCCAGCGGCTCCGCTCAGACCCTGGCCCCCCCACCGAAACCCCCAGCCAGCGTCCTTCGCCACTGAAGCGGGCACCGGGCCCAAAGCCACAGGGTGAGTTGTTCCAGGGAGTGGCAGGGGAATGGCCCGGGAGAGGGGACGGAGGAAGGGAGAGGCTGGCCAGGGGCAGAGGAGAGGCGTGTTAGAACAGCAAGCACCGTGGTCCCGGGGCAGAGGCTGTGACTCGGAGCTAATGCCCACACACCGGGATGTCACCCCAGGCCTGCTCCGTGCCCACCTCGGGGCTTGTGGCCCGGCTGTGACAGCCCCCTCCAAACCCAGCACATTGGATCTCCTCTCTTTGTCCCCTGTCATCCAGTCCCCCCAAAGCCCAGCTACCTGCAGATGCCCCGGATGCCCCCTCCACCCGAGCCCATCCCCCCCCCACCGTCACGCCCGCTGCCTGCAGACCCCCGAGTGGCCAAGGGCCTGGCTCCCAGGGTAGAGGCCAGCCCCAGTTCCGCAGCTGTGTCCTCACTGATCGAGAAGTTTGAGAGGTGAGTGTGGTGCCTGGGGGTGAGGGTGAGGGAGGGCCCGGGGTAGGCAGGATGGTCGTAAGACAGGCCTCGCAGTCAAGCTCACACCTGCCTCCATGTGTGTCCACCACCCACCTCAGGGAGCCCGTGATTGTTGCCTCGGACAGGCCAGCCCCCGGCCCCAGCCCAGGTCCCCCAGAGCCAGCCATGCTGCCACAGCCACCCCCGCAGCCTCCGGTGCCCCAGCTCCCCGAGGGCGAGGCCTCCCGCTGCCTCTTCCTGCTGGCTCCTGGGCCCCGGGATGGCGAGAAGGTCCCCAACCGGGACAGCGGCATCGACAGCATCAGCTCTCCGTCCAACAGCGAGGAGACCTGCTTCGTCAGCGATGATGGGCCCCCCAGCCACGGCCTCTGCCCCGGGCCCCCCGCCCTGGCCAGCATCCCCGTGGCCTTGGCTGACCCCCACCGGCCCAGCTCTCAGGAGGTTGATAGCGACCTGGAGGAGGAGGACGAGGAGGAGGAGGAGGAGAAGGACAGAGAAATCCCAGTGCCCCTGATGGAGAGACAGGAGTCGGTGGAGGTACTGACCCGTGTTCACTGAGGGGCAGGGCCCTGGGGAGGCACCAGGAGCCTGGCTGGCCCGCTGGGTTCTTTCTCTAGCTCAGTGCTTCTCCGAAGAGAGTGTGTTTTCACTTTGGATGTTGGGCTTCCCTGAGCCCCTAGCACTAACTCTGAGTAGCAACGTCCCACCCTGCCCCGCCCCCACTCTGACTACCAGCCTGACCTTGCCCAGTTCTAAATGCCCACTTGGAAAATGGCTTCGGCCCCATTGGAGAAACACTAGCAGGACCTCAGTTTTTCTTTTTTTTTTAAAAAATATTTTTATTGATTTTAGAGAGGAAAGGAGAGGGAGACGGAGAGAAACATCAATGATGAGAGAGAATCATGGATCGGCTGCGTCCTGAACGCCCCTCACTGGGGATCGAGCCCACAACCCGGGCATATGCCCTGACTAGGGAATCAAACCATGACCTCCTGGTTCATAGGTTGATGCTCAACCACTGAGCCACACCGGCTGGGCTGGGCCTCAGTTTTTCTATCTTAGTTGGGGACCTTCAGAGTCTTGTCCTAGCTTGAAAATCCCATGACTTAACAGCTATGGGATGTTGGGCAAGTCTCTGCTCTCCCACCACGAGCCTCAGTGTCTTTATTTGTAAAATGGAAAGTCTCTCACGTTCAAAGGGACTTCTCCACAGCTGGATTCCTGAGGGGCACAGGGACTGGAGTGCCCCGAGGACCCGAGGCTCTGGGGATGAGGACTCTCGGCCACAGGAACCTCTTTCTGAGCCCTGGCAGGCTAACACTGCATCCAAAGGCATCCTTAGGCCACAAGCAGAAGCTGGGTCGTGGCCAGGATGCCTGCTCCACCAGAACCCAGCTCAAATGTGGGAGCTGAGGCCAGGGACTCCCCAAATATATGTCCAGTGAATAGGAAACTGGGCCAGCAGGCAAGGCGTTTTATACATTTTTAGACTTCTGTGTTTTCCTCCCACGCCAGGGACTCAGCACGATTTTGCTGACAGTGAACCGAGTGGGTGAATAAATACTAACATTTATAGACTTCTTAATCCGCACTCTGCTCTGTTTCACTTATATGAAATCGTTTGTCTCGATTACAAATGGACGTAGGTGCTATTATTAGCTCTATATGTAGATAATGACACTTAAGTACAAAGCAGTTACACAATTTATGTAAGCTAATGAGTGGCAGAGCGAGGATTTGAACCCGCGAAGTCTGACTTCCTGACCCACAGGCCCTAACCACTGCACTATGTAAATGAATGGAGAGAGCTGATCGCTGGGCAAATGAGCGGCCTAGTGAAGGAGTGCATGGCATCTGGATGGAGGGGTGGCTTTTTAAAAATATGTTTTTATTGGTTTCAGAGAAGAAGGGAGAGGGAGAGCTAGAAACATCCATGATGAGAGAGAATCTTTGATCGGCTGCCTCCTGCATGCCCCCTACTGGGGATCGAGCCAACCGTGACCTCCTAGTTCATAGGTCGACGTGCAACCATTGAGCCACGCCAGCTGGGCAAGGGATGAAGTTATAGGGCTTAAAGGTCTAGAAATGGGATGCGGGGTTATATCTGGCATTAGACTTAGACTAGCCTTTGAGCTATTCTGAGAATTCTGGGGGCCTGGTAAAGGTTAGCGTACAGAACTGTGGGTCAGGTGACCTCTTCTCCTTTCCAGTTGACGGTGCAGCAGAAGGTATTCCACATTGCCAATGAGCTCCTGCAGACCGAGAAGGCCTACGTTTCCAGGCTCCACCTCCTGGATCAGGTAAGTAGCCCCTCAGGGGTCCGGGGCCCTGGGACCTGATAGATGGATGCTCAGGCGGAAGTGATCGGGCCTGAGCTCACCCTTCCGTCGGGGCTAGAATCTAGAGGTGGTAAGGTTCCTCTCTGACCTTGACCCCCATCCTGTCCCTAAAGTCTGCTTTGATTACGATCCCAAGCTTGATTTTTATATCAGCCCTCATCCCTAACCCTGGGTGGGTACACCAGCCCCAATTGCAACTCTGACCCAGATCCTGAATTGACCCCTGAACCTCATTCTAACCCTGACCCCAAATCCACTAGAGTCACTAAGGGCAGGGACTTTTAACTGCTTTCTTCATTGCCTGGCACACAGTAGGCACTCAAAAATATTTGCTCAATGGCCGAGACCGGTTTGGCTCAATGGATAGAGCATCAGCCTGTGGACTGAAAGGTCCTGGGTTCGAATCCGGTCAAGGACATGTACCTTGGTTGCGGGCACATCCCCAGTAGGGGGTGTGCAAGAAGCAGCTGATCAATGATTCTCTCTCATCGATGTTTCTAACTCTCTATCCCTCTCTCTTTCTCTCTGTAAAAAACCAATAAAATATATATTTTTTAAAATATTTGCTAAATGGCTGGGGCTGGTTTGGCTCAATGGATAGAGCATCGGCTTGGGGACTGAGGGGTCCCGGGTTCAATTCCGGTCAGGGGCATGTGCCTTGGTTGCGGGCATATCCCCAGTGGGGGATGTGCGGGAGGCGGCTGTTCGATGACTCTCTCTCATCGAGGTTTCTAGCTCTGTATCTCTCTCCCTTCCTCTCTGTACAAAATCAATAAAATATATTAAAAATATATATATATTTGCTAAATGAACAGATCTAATTCCAACCTTCTCTCTCACCCCGAATCTAATTCTGACCTTGACCCTGATTCTGACTTTTCATTGTTCCAGTGCCTACCTCCAAATCCTAACCTTGACCCCCTGAAATCCAGCCCCCCATGGAAACCTAACACCATCCCCTCTCTCCTCAGTCTCAAGACCGTGCTGACCCCAATGGGCCACACCTCTACCCACAAACACTGTCCTCACCTGCAAGCCGCCCTGCCCTAGCCAAACCCCAGGCCCAGCTGGGCTGAGCCGCCTGCCCTGCCCCACAGGTGTTCTGCGCCCGGCTGCTGGAAGAAGCACGGAACCGCAGTTCCTTCCCGGCTGATGTGGTCCACGGCATCTTCTCTAACATCTGCTCCATCTATTGCTTCCACCAGCAATTCCTGCTGCCCGAGCTAGAGAAGCGCATGGAAGAATGGTGAGGGGCCCCAGATCTAGGCTTCCGTCCTCCTGTCCACTTGCCTGTTGAGACTCAGGCCAGATGTGTGCACAAAGTTCATTGCTGCCTGCCCTCTGCACTTACCACCCGTCACAGAAAGAATTAGGCCCAAGCTCTGCTTTCTAGGCCCTCCCAGACTAATAGAAAACACAGTCCAGGACTCAGAAAATTATAACAGAACTAGAGGCCCAGTGCACGAATTCGTGCACCCGTGGGGTCCCTCGGGCTGGCCTGTGGGACTGGGCTGAAACCAGCTCTCTGACATCCCCTGAGGGGGTCCTGGATTTCGAAAGGGCTCAGGCCAGGCTGGGGGACCCCACCGATGCACAATCGGGGCAAGGATAAGACACAGGAGGTTGGCCAACCTCTCTGAAATCAACAAAAATATATTAAAGCAACAACAACAAAGAAGCAGGCTGGCTGGGAAGTAGATGTCTAGGACCAAGAGACCCCATGGTCTCTGCCTGAGGCTGGTACGGGATTGCTGGGGTGGGACCAGGGGACAAGGATCAAAGGGACCATATCAGCCCTGCCTCCATCCCAGGGACCGCTACCCACGCATCGGAGACATCCTGCAGAAGCTGGCGCCCTTCCTCAAGATGTACGGCGAGTACGTGAAAAACTTCGACCGGGCCGTGGAGCTGGTCAACACCTGGACAGAGCGCTCTACCCAGTTCAAGGTCATCATCCACGAGGTGCAGGTACGCGGCCAAGAGGGACGGGGTGGACGGGTGGAGAGGTCTGGGGGGGTTCCGGTGTGGGGTCTGTGGCCGGTCCCGAGCCCCCTTGCCTCTGCCCATCACAGAAGGAGGAAGCCTGCGGCAACCTGACTCTGCAGCACCACATGCTGGAGCCCGTGCAGCGCATCCCCCGCTACGAGCTGCTTCTCAAGGACTATCTCCTCAAGCTGCCCCACGGCTCCCCGGACAGCAAGGATGCCCAAAGTGAGTGCGCATGCCCGGGCCCAGCCCCCTGCCAAGACTGCTTTCACCGGCCAGCCTGCCTTGGCCCACATAGTTGAAATCCAAGCTCTGGAGTGAGACCCCAATTGAGAACCCTGCCTGAGGCCACCCACAAAACACTCAGGGGTCCCCCAGTCTGAGGTTTCCAACTGCGATGCCAGAGTTGGAGGCGCATGCCCAGAATGATCCCCTCAAGGCAGACACCTGTTTCCCAAGCCAAGACCCCAAGGCCGACCCCTAGAATTGTCCTCGGAGGAAGTTGTCCAAGTCCAAAGGCACTGAGCCACTAGGCTGAGAGTCCAGACCGGACTCCACGGGTCGGTCTCCACAGCTGAGCTGAGATTTGTCCGATTGTCCGTCCTCCACATTTATTTATTTTTTTAAAAAATATATGTTTTATTGATTTTTTTTACAGAGAGGAAGGGAGAGGGATAGAGAGCTAGAAACATCGATGAGAGAGAAACATAGACCAGCTGCCTCCTGCACACCCCCCACCGGGGATGTGCCCGCAGCCAGTGTACATGCCCTTGACCGGAATCAAACCTGGGACCTTTCAGTCCGCAGACTGACGCTCTTTCCACTGAGCCAAACCGGTTTCGGCCATCCTCCACATTTAGAGCTCCACTCCCTGTCTGCCAGCCCCCACCCAGCATGCACCTCCCCAAACAGCCTCCGGGTCTGATTGGAACTCTCCAGAACGGAGCTTCCCAGACTGGACTGGGTGTTTTCTGCCTCCAAGATGTAGATCTATAGGCCGAGATGCCGCTTCCCCACATCGAACCGCTAGAAAGTGTTTCATTCTGATTCCTCCAGTATGAGACCCATCCCCAGGGCCACACCCCCAAAAGTGCTCTCTAGAGTCTCCCCAGCTTTCTCTCAGTCTGGTCTCCTTGTTCGCCATTCTATAGAAGGGTATTGTCAAACGGAGCACCCTGGATGAATCTCTCCATTTCCTGCCTCTCAGACTGAACCCTAAGGACTGACACTCAAGATCCATCCCACAGGCCACTGAGCCCTCAGACTGGATTCCCAGTGTGAATCCCAGAGAGAACCCTGAGACTGAGCCACCCAGACAGAGACTCCAGCCCCCCAAATTAAGCTACTTATGCCAAGCTCCAAGGCTGACCTTCCGTCTCAACTCCCAGACTAACTTGCCCCAGATGAAGCTCTCCGTTTTCTTTTTTTAATATATTTTTATTAATTTCAGAGAGGAAGGGAGAGAGAGAGAGAGAGAGAGAGAGAGAGAAAGAGAGAAAGAGAGAAATACCAATGATGAGAGTCATTCATCAGCTGCCTCCTGCACGCTCCTCACTGGGGATTGAGCCGAAACCCGGGCGTGTGCCCTGACCTTGAATCGAACTGAGACCTCCTGGTTTATGGGTCAAGGTTCAACCACTGAGCCACACTGGCTGGGCTATTGTGGCTATTTTTAATGGTAATAATAATCTTGTTAAGCTTGCATTGTCTAGGCTGCCAGCTACCCCACGTATTAGGATTCTGCCTTGAAACAGTTTCTGATTTTGTGTAACGTTGCTATGGACATCTTTGAGGCTGGTGCTTTCTGGGATGGGGAGGGTGCAGGCAGGCCAGGAGGAGGTACGCAGGAAACCAAGGAGCTTGACCTCCCCCTCTGCCCACAGAGTCTCTGGAGCTAATAGCCACCGCCGCGGAGCACTCTAACGCTGCCATCCGCAAAATGGTGAGTGGCCTCTCGCCCTGCCCTTCCTCGGCCTCCCGCCTGTGCGGTCCCATCGAAGGGGAGGCCAGCACCCCAACCCTGCCTTCTGCTCACTGTCTCTTGCCAGGAGCGAATGCACAAGCTGTTGAAAGTATATGAGCTGCTGGGGGGTGAGGAAGACATTGTCAGCCCCACCAAGGAGCTCATCAAAGAAGGCCACATCCTTAAGCTGTCAGCGAAGAACGGGACCACTCAAGACCGATACCTCATATTAGTAAGTGCCAGGGGTGGGGTTGCGGGTGGGCCCCCCTCCCCCACATGTTGACTTGTACTCCAGACTACCTCCTGCTAGTCAGTCTTTCCTCCTCTGACGCATTGCACTTTCACTGCCTACACTAGGCAGGGTTTTCCCTCCACTTTACAGATGTTATAACTAAGACCGAGAGAAGTGACTGGCCCAAGGTCACTCACCTAGGAAGTGACTCCCCTGCCTACACTCTTTCCTTGCTACCTTTGTGTTAGCTATCTATCTGTCTATCATCTATCTACCTATCTATCTACCGTGTTTCCCCGAAAATAAGACATCCTCCGAAAATAAGACCTAGCGCATGGAAAGATAAGACATCCCCTGAAAATAAGACCTAGCGCAACTTTGGGAGAAAAAATTAATATAAGACACTGTCTTATTTTCGGGGAAACGGGGTATTTATCTATCTATTGTTAATCCTTACCCGAGGATATTTTCCCATCAATTTTTAGGGAGAGTGGAAGGGGGAGGGAGAGATAGAGAGAAACATAGATTTGAGAGAAATACATCAATTGCTTGCCTCCTGCATGGGCCAGGGAGGAGCCTGCAACCCATGTACATGCCCTTGACCGGAATCGATCCAGAATCCTTTGGTCTATCCACCGAGCCAAACTGGCTGAGGCTCCTTGCGACCTTGGTGTCCTGTCTAGGCCATTGTCTCCTCCTTTGCCTTGTAATCCCCAGTAATAAAGCTTTGGGGTCCCACACACATACAGCCCAAACCTTTCCCTTCCTAGTTCAACGACCGCCTCCTCTACTGCGTGCCCAGGCTGCGGCTCCTTGGCCAGAAGTTCAGCGTGCGGGCACGCATTGACGTAGACGGCATGGAGGTGAGTGCCAGGGCGTGGGAAACGAGAACCCGGAGCGGGGCCTTGGTGCTGGGAGGTTATCACAGAGACGGCTGACTCTGCCCCCCCAGTCTGTGTGCAAAGGATGAGGGACTCGCTAGACCTCACAAAGCCTCCGTCTCCCTCCATTTCAGCTGAAGGAAAGCTCCAACCTCAATCTGCCTCGGACCTTCCTGGTGTCAGGAAAGCAGCGCTCCCTGGAGCTCCAGGCCAGGTACCCGCCCTCGCCTGTACCCTCCCTTCAGATAGGCTGAGGGTTCTCTGCCTAGGGCATGCGCAGCAGGTATTATACCTCCCCAGGGGAGAGGTGATCCCAGGAGAGGGTGGGCACCTTTCCCCAAAGATGCTTCTTCCGGTGGGTTTGAATAACAAACAACACGGATAGTTTGTTGTAGATTCAAGAGAAATACCAACTGCCAGGCTTGATCCCCGGTGTGAGAAAAACAGCCCTAAGAGATATTTGCAAGACAATGGGGAAATGGAAATGTGAATTGAGCTTTTGGGAAATTGCTGCTAACTTCCTCTGAGAGTGAGAGAGAATGGTCTTGTTTTCTGATGATGCCAGCTGAGGAGTTTCTATCATATCTGTAATTTATTTTTAAAAACGATTTATCAACCAAAAATACATACATATACACACATTTTCACACACACACATACACACATATAAAATATAAATCAATAATAAAAAGGAAGCAAATATAGCAAAATATTTTAAATGTTTGCATCTATCAAGTGGGTAGATATTTAATGTATTTGTGCTATACTGTGTTTTTCAGTATGCTTGAAATTTTTCTTTTAAAAAAATATATTTAAATATATTTTATTGACTTTTCACAAAGAGGAAGAGAGAGGGACAAAGAGTCAGAAACATCGATGAGAGAGAATCATCGATCAGCTGCCCCCTGCACAGCCCCCACTGAGGATGTGCCCGCAACCAAGGCACATGCCCTTGACCGGAATCGAACCCAGGACCTTTCAGTCTGCAGGCCTACACTCTATCCACTGAGCCAAACCGGTTTCGGCTAAAAAATATATTTTTATTGATTTCAGAGAAGAAGGGAGAGGGAGAGATAGAAACATCAATGATGAGAGAATCATTGATCCGCTGCCTCCTGCACGCCCCGCACTGGGGATCTAGCCCGCAACCCAGACATGTGCCCTGACTGGGATCGAACCCAAGGCCCTTCAGTCCGCAGGCCAACGCTCTATCCACTGAGCCCAACCAGCTAGGGTGAAATTTTTCTCTTTTTTTAACAACGTTTTTTTCCTTTTTATCGAATTTATTGGGGTGACACTGGTTAAAATGATAAGGGTTTCGGGAACACAATTCCACAACAGATCACCTGTACCCTGTGTTGTTTGTTCACCATCCCAAGTCAAGTCTCCATCCATCCATTTATCCTCCCCCCAATATCCTCTCCCTCCCCTCCCCCTCCCCCCAGCAATCCCCACACTGTTGTCCATGACTTTTTGACATTTTTCAAACAAGAAAACAAATTTAAATAATAAAGTTAAAAGCAATGTCCAAAGAGGCTTCTTTCTTATCTATCCTCTACTTGGATGGTTATAATAGTAGCTCACATTTAATGAAAACGTACTTGCTCTTATGCCAGGCACTGTTTTAACTTAATTTTAGCTTCAACAATTTAAATGTAATCAATCCTTAAAACAACCCCTTGCCTGGCCGATGTGTCTCAGTAGTTGAGCGTTGACCTCTGAACCAGGAAGTGATGGTTCCTTTCCCCGGGGCCAGTGGTCAGCAAACTCATTAGTCCACAGAGCCAAATATCAACAGGACAACGACTGAAATTTCTTTGGAGAGCCACATTTTTTAAACTTAAACTTCTTCTAACGCCACTTCTTCCAAATAGACTCGACCAGGCCATGGTATTTTGTGGAAGAGCCACACTCAAGGGGCCAAAGAGCCGCATGTGGCTCACGAGCCGCAGTTTGCCGACCACGGCTCTGGGTGCAGGAGGCAGCCAATCAATGATCCTCTCTCATCATTGATGTTTCTAGCTCTCTCTCCTTCTCCCTTCCTCTCTGAAATCAGTAAAAAATATGCTTTTTCAAAAACAAAACAACCCTTGAAGCTACTGTTGCCATCTACCCCATTTTACAGATGAGAAAACTGAGGCACAAAAGAGTTATGCACCTGGCCCAAGCTCCCACAGCTAGAAAGGAACAGAGCTGGGACTGGAGCTCATGCTGACTTCTGAGGGTTCAGGTGATAGGTACCCAGATCATGGTCAAGGCCGGAGAATGGATGCAGATGGTTAGATGATCTGCTCTGACAGAGTGCAAGGAAGTGAGAAATGAGTCAGAACCTTCACTGTGGGGCCCAGCGGGGTATGTAGTCTGCTGGGGATGAGAGAGGGGCTCTGAGGGAAGCTGGGCGAAGAGGGGAGCGCTGAGCGGTGCAGGGTTTCCTCCTAGTGGCTGGAGGAAGGCATGGAGGGTTTGCTTTGCCATCCTGCCCTTAAAAATGTATTTCTTAACGAAAAAAGTCAAATATGGAGAAAAGTCAAAATACAACAAACACCCGTATGTCCACCATTTAGACAACCGAGTCTCAACCTTGGTGACAACCTCACCTGGGGAGCTTTTAAAAAACCTGATGTTAAAAAAAATTTTTTTAAATTGATTTCAGAGAGGAAGGGAGAAGGAGAGAGATAGAAACATCAATGAGAGAGAATCATTGATCAGCTGCCTCCTGCACGCCTCCTACTGGGGATCAAGCCCACGACCTGGGCATGTGCCCTTGAGAGGAATCAAACCCGGGACTCTTCAGTCTGCAGGCCAGTGCTCTATCCACTGAGCCAAACCGGCCAGGGCTAGAAAAGCACTTTTGATGTCTGCAGTGTGCATCATTAGAAGAGACCAGGAGGGAATCAGCCAAGAAGCTGGGCTCCAGGGCAGAGCCTTGGAAGACGCGGGGCAGACAGGAGAGTCCGGGAAGAAAGGCAGAGGGAGGGGAAGTCCACGCTAATTGAGCATCTAGTGTAGCAGGGATTGCACTGGGCGTGGAAATGTCACTTCGGTTAAGTAATGATCATCTCCGTTTTCCAAGTGAAGGAAAAGCAACTGCTCTTCTGTCTCCAACTGGACATTCCTGCCAGAGGGAACTATTTAAGGTTTCTTGTATATACCTACTGTCACACACACGTCATCTTTTTTTAAAAAATATATTTTTTATTGATTTTTTTACAGAGGGGAAGAGAGAGAGAGAGAGAGTTAGAAACATCGATGAGAGAGAATCATTGATCAGCTGCCTCCTGCACACCCTCTACTGGGGATGTGCCCGCAACCAAGGTACATGCCCTTGACCGGAATCGAACCCGGGACCCTACAGTCTGCAGGCCGACGCTCTCTCCACTGAGCCAAACTGGGTTCGGCCACACCTCATCTTTACCTCTCTACTGAAGCTTAGCACCTCCTTAAGGGAAGCCCTTCCTTAGCAACCTCCACCCAAACTGCAAACGGGGTCTCCTCTTCCGGACTCCTCAGCCCGATTTCGCTGTCGCAGCACTAATACCCTTGTATTGTCCCTGTTTATCTCCCCCCTCCCGTCCCCCTTCACCCCTGCAGGCCACTAGCTCCTTGAGGATAGGGTCCCCTCTGGGGCCCGAGTCCCTAGCACCGAGTCTGGAAGGTGTTAGTAACCATTGGATAAATAGCTCAGACAGCTTTAAGGATGTGCCCAAGGTCACATGAGTTATAAGTGAAGGAGTAGAAGGTCCAACCCGGGTCTGTCTGAGACCAAAACATCCGCTCTCTACCTCTCTGACCGCTTTGGCTTGGCCTGCCTAACCCAACTCTTTCTTTTTTGCCCCCAAGGACTGAGGAGGAGAAGAAGGACTGGGTCCAGGTAACATCCAAGAAGGCTTTGTGGCGGGGGCAGGAGTATTAACAGGCTCCCAAGGGGGTCGGGGAACTCTCCCCTAAAACCGGCACCTGACCACTGTGAGCCTGGACAGCAAACTTGCCCGTCCCCATTTTACAGATTAGCTCACTGAGGTCCAGAAGTAACAGCTCACAGATTCTGCCTTTAGAGACCCGCTACTCTGGGGTGTGTGAGCCCAGTGAGTTAAGCCCTAACAAAGCGGAATTCAGCCCAGACAGTGGATAGGAAGGCCTTTTGAGGTTTTTCAGCCACTGATCCCCGCCCTCATCTCACCAATACAAGGACTGAGCCGCCCAGCAAGGGGCAGAGCTGTGGCCAGAACGCAACTTCTCTGGGTCCTAGGAGAGCGAGGTGTAGGTGCAAATGGATGGGTTGTGAGGCAATCTGACCTCCCACTTCTTACACCTCCTCCCCAGGCCATCAACTCCACCCTTCTGAAGCATGAACAGACGCTGGAGACCTTCAAACTGTTGAACTCAACAAACAGGGAAGATGAAGACACACCCCCTAACTCTCCAGTAAGAGTCTTCCCCCTCCCTCCATACTGAGCCTCCAGGTCCCACCTCCCCCGGGGAGACCGGAAGCAGTCTTAGTGGTGGGGCCGCAGACATCACTGGGGAAATGGAGGCTCAGAGAGTAGGAATGACTCGTGTTCAGTAGCACAATCAGGTAAGGAGAGAGCCAGGACTCAAAAGCAGGTCTTACGCGCCAGCCCCCCCCCCCCCCCCCCCGCACAGCAATGCCTTTAACATGCATACATGTAACATAGAATACAGTAGTGGAAACACGGGAGTTAACAAAACTGCATAGCAATATTAATTCTATATCTCCCGGAATTTATTTCGTATAAATCAGAAGCATATACTAAAAGGTAACTATGCTGATTGTGGCACAACACTCTGACCTATTAATAACCACTGACTAGTCATTGAATATGGGAATATTGTACAATACTATGTTTTATATATATATATTTTTTAATTGATTCAGAGAGGAAGGGAGAGGGAGAGATAGAAATATCAATGATGACAGAGAATCACTGGCTGGCTGCCTCCTGCATGCCCTCCACTGGGGATAGAGCCCACAACCCAGGCATGTGCCCTTGACTGGAATCGAACCCGGACCGTTCATTCCAGTCTGATGCTCTATCCACTGAGCCAAACCAGCTAGGGCTATTATGAAAGCAGCTTTGTTTTAAAAAACAGCATAGATGCCGAAACCAGTTTGGCTTAGTGGATAGAGCATCGGCCTGCAGATTGAAGGATCCCAGGTTCGATTCCCGTCAAGGGCATGTACCTTGGTTGCGGGCACATCCCCGGTAGGGGGTGTGCAGGAGGCAGCTGGTCCATGTTTCTCTCTCATCGACATTTCTTGCTCTCTATCCTTCTCCCTTCCTCTCTGTAAAAAAATAAATAAATAAATAAATAAAATAAAATATATTTAAAAAAAATAAAAAACAGCATAGATAACTTCAAGAAGGATAGGATTTTGTTAAATGCTTAACAGCTCTGATAGGATTCTGTGAAATCAGAAAATTGTGAAAGGCGGGTCTTCTGACTGTGTCTGCTGCCTCCAGTGATGACCCAGGCCTCAGGGCATGGGCGAGGGCTGGCCGGGCTGGGCCTGGGGAGCGGCTGCCTCTGACCCAGGCCCTGGCCCTCTCTCCAGAACGTGGATCTTGGGAAGCGCGCCCCGACCCCCATCCGTGAGAAGGAGGTCACCATGTGCATGCGGTGCCAGGAACCCTTCAACTCCATCACCAAGCGCAGGCACCACTGCAAGGCCTGTGGGCACGTGAGTGTGGGGAGGCCGGGCAGAGCCAGGGAGGGCAGAATGAGGGAAGACTGGGGGTCCATCCTGGGAGTCAGGACACTGAAGGGGAAGGCCTTCTGCAAATCAGGCATCTCTTGCCCATTTGCCACTCCAGGTGGTTTGTGGGAAGTGCTCCGAGTTCCGGGCCCGCCTCATCTACGACAACAACCGCTCCAACCGCGTGTGCACTGACTGCTACGTGGCCTTGCACGGCGTGCCTGGGAGTAGCCCGGCCTGCGGCCAGCACACCCCCCAGCGCCGGAGGTCCATCCTGGAGGTGAGTGCCAGGCCTGTGAGCACTGACCCTCACACGCCACGCACATGGGTGCCAGCAACCCCCTCCCCCCGGGGATGGAGGCCTGGGTTTCTCTGGAACCGTAGTGACACGAATGCAACCCCAATGAAAGCCAGTTGGGTCCTTTCGACCCCTTGGCATTTTATTTGAGTGCTTTAGGCATTTATCTTCAGAGTAACGAATCTCTCCATGCTATTCCTATCCCCGTTTTACAAATGAGGAAACCGAGGCCCCAGGAAGTTACTTACCCTAGTCACGCAACCAGTGAGCGGCAGAGCTTGCATGTTTTTTAATTAACAAACGGTCTCTTCTTATTACCAAGTAGGATATGCACACTGAAGGAAAGCCGACAGTCTAAACACATAATAAAAACACCCTATATTTCTTCCGCCCACTAGATAGCACTAACACTTATGCTTCCTATCTTTCTAGGCGCGTGCGCATTTTGGTTTTGTTTCTTAGCCCAATCGAGGTATTTATTTTATTTAACATTTAAAGAACTCTCCCTCTGTGCCAGGCACTGTTCTAAGCGCTTTGCATCTATTAATTCACTTAACCCTTCCCGTAGCTCTGTATGTTTTCCTTCCTAGTCAATACATCATCTAGAGCTGGGATTCTGAGCCTCTCCCACTCCCCACTCCCCCCCAGCCCCTTAACCACAATGCCAGGTCGCCTCTTGCTGAGCGTAGGGGATGGATATGTGACCAAAGATGAAGAAAAAAAAAGGTGAGGTGCAAACGCATAAAGGACTTGAGGAATCGATGAAGCGAGGAAAGAACGCCTGACTAGCATGTAGATGCCTCTCCCACCAGCTCTTAGAGGTAGTCGCCATGGCCTGTCTGACTCACGGGGGGACACGGGGCAAATCATTCCTGCCACCTGAGCTTCAGCATCCTCATCTGCTGAGGGGTCCTCAAGCCCAGAGGCGGCCAGCCAGGCCTCCCTCCACGCTGACCCCCTCTCTGTCTCTGGCCACAGAAGCAGGCCTCGGTGGCTGCAGAGAACAGCGTCATCTGCAGCTTCCTGCACTACATGGAGAAGGGCGGCAAAGGCTGGCACAAGGCGTGGTTTGTGGTCCCTGAGAACGAGCCCCTGGTGCTGTACATCTACGGAGCCCCTCAGGTGTGCCTCCCCCTCCTCGGGGTCCCTTCAGCCACCTGGCAGAGCCAAGCTACCCCCTTCCCCTTCCGCCCTCGGCCTCCCCTTGGCCTTGGGGATCGCGTGACCCTGAGTAGAAATCAGTGCCCCCACACTGGCTAGAAACAAGGAGTGATTGCGGGCCAATGGGGTGGGGGGCTAGCTTCCCAGAGAAAGCCAGGGTGCAGACGAGGCACCACTGGATCCAACCTGGATGGGGAAGAACGCATAAATGGGGGCAGCAGCCTAGACCCGTGGTCGGCAAACTGCAGCTCGCGAGCCACGTGCGGCTCTTTGGCCCCTTGAGTGTGGCTCTTCCACAAAAGACCACGCACGGCCTGGGCGAGTCTATGTTGAAGAAGTGGCGTTAGGAGTTTACGTTTAAAACATGTGGCTCTCAAAAGACATTTCAATCGTTGTGCTGTTGGTATTTGGCTCTGTGGACTAATGTGTTTGCCGACCACTGGCCTAGACAAAGGCCTGGAGATGTTACTCGGTATAAAATACACTAAGGAAACTAACCCAGCTGGTTTGGGGTGTAGGAGGGAACGGGTATGTGAACCCAGACAATTTTCTGTTGCTATCAAGGGAGCCCTGGCAGATTTTTTAAAATATATTTTATTTTTATTTTTTTTAAATATATTTTATTAATTCTTTACAGAGAGGAAGGGAGAGGGATAGAGAGCTAGAAACATCGATGAGAGAGAAACATTGACCAGCTGCCTCTTGCACACCCCCTACCGGGGATGTGCCCACAACCAAGGTCCATGCCCTTGGCCGGAATCGAACCCGGGACCTTTCAGTCCGCAGGCCGATGCTCTATCCATTGAGCCAAACCGGTTTCCGCAGCCTTGGCAGGTTGTTGAGCAGGGGAAGGAAAAGGGGGGGTGAGCAGGTGAAAAGGCAGTGAGAAGCGCAGCCTCCGGTGACCCCGGCTCTGTCTGTGCCCCAGGATGTGAAAGCCCAGCGCAGCCTGCCCCTCATCGGCTTTGAGGTGGGGCCACCCGAGGCCGGGGAGCGGCCCGACAGGCGGCACGTCTTCAAGATCACCCAGAGCCACCTGAGCTGGTACTTCAGCCCCGAGACGGAGGAGCTGCAGCGGCGCTGGATGGCCGTGCTCGGCCGGGCGGGCCGTGGGGACACGTTCTGCCTGGGGCCCACCCCGTCCGAGGACAGGGAGCTGGAGGAGGCGCAGGTGGCAGCTGCAGGAGCCGCCGCCGAGCCCTCTGAAGCCCCCCAGACCCGAGACAAGACCTAGAGGGTTTGGGGGGACCTGAGGCCCCCTGTCCCACACTCTAGCTGCCCATGTCCAACGGGGGGCCCCGGCCCCCTCCCTCCCAGCTCAGTCAATACTTGAACTCCCATCATGGGCACTTTCAATCCCGAATGCTGGGTCTTGGGTTTTTTAATTCATCTTTTCACACAATGGGGGCTTTTAAAAGAAATATTCCTACAGTGATGTTCCTTTTTTTTAATCCCCATCCCCAGGGAGGGTGGGAGCTGTGGCTAGACCTGCCTGAACGAGGCCATTTCCCCAACCCTCCACACACACACACACACACACACACACACACACGCCCCCCCCTCCCGATCCTGCCTTCACCCCACCCCCCTAAAAGCACCAGAGGCAGGAGAGACCTGGGTTCGAGTGCCAGTTCTCCCACCGAGGCCCTAGCCCCGGCCCAGCCCTGCCCCCTCCCCCAGTGTCCTCACACGTACGATGCAAGGCGGGGCAGTGACCAGATCCTTCCCGCCTCTCCACGGCTTACAGCTTCTACCCACCCCCGAGGCTACCCAGTATTTTATCGTCCAGACCCATGGCAGGGCCACCGGGCAGGACAGGGGAACAGGGGGGGGACAATGGATACTCTCGGTTTTTTGTTTTGTTTTTTTAAAGAAAAAAAAAATACAGTTTATTTCAGGCTTATGGAAACTTTCGGGCCACTGCTGTGCTCCGTTTGTCCGTGTGTGTGTGTGTGTGTGTGTGTGTGTGTCCGTCCAAAAGTGCCGCCCGCTAGGGTGGGCCCACAACCCGCTCCCATGCTGAGCTCGATGTCTCAGCTCCCCGAGGAATGACGCCAAGGCTACTCACAACAGGCCACGCCACAGGTTCAGCTTTAAGATGTTATTTATTCATGTCTGTTAAGCCTCATCCCTGGACGTGGATGGAATTGGATGAAGAGTTTGGAAAGAGGTTGCAGGAGACAGAAAACGAAGCCCAGGTCCCCCGAGCTCACCACCTTGCCAATGCCTTAGACTTCCTGAAGGAACCAGGGCTGCAGGCCGGGCTGCGGGATGGGGCCGCGCTGCTGTGTGTGTGTACGGGCAGCAGGGAAGTGGGAGAGGGAACACAGCTACTTCCGTTCCCGTTGTCCATTGATGCTCTCTTCCGGCCGCCATGTTCATCTCATCGTTCCTGAGCCAGCAGAAGTGTTGGTTCTGCTGGTCCTCTCTCCTTTCATAAACCTACCTGCCCACTGTCAACCAACGAGTATTCAGCACCTCCAACCACACCCACACCCGCTCATCCTACTGTCTGCACCCAAGGCCTCACCATTCGGATAATAACTTACGGCCCAAGGGGGTGTGGTCAACCAGGTCCCACCAAACCAAGGCCAAGGACCCTAGGGCTCTTCTTCCCCTGGAGGGAGCTGGACAGGGGAATAGGGAGAGGATGGAGATGGGATAACCAGTCCAAAGGTTCACACTCCTCCATACAAGGGCCCAAACCATGGCCAGCCCCGCTCATTTCTTTCTCCGGACAATGGTCCAACCATCCTCCACTATATCTTCTTCCTTAATAGTCTGGGTGTCTGGACCAGAGGGTTCAGGCTGGGGGCAGACCCCACCGGTAGCTGCCCCATCATTCGTAGCTGTGACCTGCAGGAGACACACAGAAGGGAGCTGAATACAACACACCTCCCCGTTGTGACCATTGGAATACCCAGGCTCTACTCCCCGCTTTGTAAGGATTGGCTGTGTGATCTTAGGAAAGTTCCTTGCCCTCTCTGGATAATACAGCCACTACCACCCCATCCCCGTCAGCTCCCTATGATCTCCCAGAAAACTGAAAATATCTACATCTCACCCGGCCCGCATGGCTCAGTGGTTGAGCGTTGACCTACGGACCAGGAGATCATGGTTCGATTCCCGGTCAGGGCATACCCCCAGGTTGCGGCTCAATCCCCAGTGTGGGGCGTGCAGGAGGCAGCCAATCAATGATTCCCTTTCATCATTGATGTTTCTATCTCTCTCTCTCTCCCTCTCCCTTCCTCTGTGAAATCAATAATAATAAGTTAAAGAAATATTTCCGTCTCTCCAACCAAGGGCACACCCCGCTCACCTCCATCTCCTCCGCACTGTCCGCATTATTATCATCCGCCTGCTTGTCTGTCGAAAGTGCCGTGGCTCTAACCCTGCGCTTCCTCTGGATGATGTGGGAGGTCAGCTCCTTCATGGTGGCCCCATCACCCCTCTGATAGTGGTAGAACATGGTCTGCAGCTGCTGGCTCACCTGTCAAGAGAGCATTCCACCACCCTGGGTTGCCTACAGGACCTACAATACAACAACCCGGGTTTGCAGCGAGAGTGGGGAAGGGTGTGGAATGTCCCAGGAGCCAATGGGGCCCTTTCCTCCCCCAAGGAGTTCACTCAAGAAGGAGCCACATATGAAAGAGAGCTCAGGTAACGGTCCAAAGCACGGAAGGAGGGCCTCCGAGCTAGGAAGGCACAACTAGTAAAACCGGGTTTGGAAGATGGAAGAGGGAAAAGGGAAGGTGATTCCAGCAGGGGGTGGTGTTAACCAGGGGAGGGGGTGAAGATGTGCCTGGCCCGGCCTGCCCTTGGGGTGAGGCTCCTGAGGAACAGACCTGGCAGGGAATGGTGGCTCAAGAGAAGAGAGAAGCCCTGGCCAGCTTGGCTCAGTGGATAGAGCGTCGGCCTATGAACTGAAGGGTCCCGGGTTCGATTCCGGGCAAGGGCACATGTTTAGGCTGCAGGCTCCATCCCCAGTGTGGGGCGTGCAGGAGGCAGCCAATGAATGATTCTCATCATTGATGTTTCTCTCTCTCCCCCTCGCCATCTCTGAGATCAATAAACAAAAAAATTTTTTAAGAGAAAAGGTAGGATTTGGAAAGGCCTTGGAAGACTAGGCAATAGGGAGTCATAAAGGGTTCTTGTGCGAGGCTCAGTGGTTAGAGCCAAGGGCGTTGGCCTAAAATAAACACTTGGGGAGAAGGAAGACTATAGGCAGGAAGGGGGCAGCTGTGCCCATGACATGCTCACCTGGGGCAGGCTCCCGTCCTCCACAACCGTGTCAAACTCGTTGGTCATGAGCTCCCCGAGGAAATCCTCCACCTCATCCAGCTCCAGGTCGGCTGGAGAGGGAAGGACAGGGCGCTTTGGTCAGAGATGAGCCACCGCCACCACGCCCGCCTGCTGGGGCCACATCTGGTTGGTGGGTAAGGGGCACACAGTGAGCCTTTATTCGCTGCCGTGCTCTGCATTCTGGGTTTGAACATCACTTTTTTTTTTTTTAAATGGAGAGACCCTTCATGACTGTGGCTCCATGGATACAGGAGGCCACAGACCAATGGGACAGATACGAAATGGGTATAAATACTCGCAATGATGAAATATCATAGCCTGAACATCAACATCCTATTGTGTGGGGCTTTGGCTAAGCTAAGCTCCCCTCTGGGCTTCCGTTACCCTATGGGCCCATCCTCTTCTGAATTGGAGAATTACTCAAGAAGGTCTTCCACGAAGCTCCCCCATCCCCTGCCACTCCCAAGACCTCATTCACCCCCTTGGCTTTCCCAATATCCTCCACATCTGCCTCCAACTCAGACTGCTTCACCTATTTCACAGGTACCTCAGACCCTCCATATCCAAAGCCAGACGCATCACCTTACCTACCCTCCAGGCTTCTCTGTACCATGAACGCACCTAATCCACTGGGTCACTCGTACCAGAACCCGCCTCCTCCTCCTTCCCTCTCTGCAGCCAAGCAATCTCCAAGCCCCTAACCCACCCCTTCTTTCCCATGGCTCTCACCACTGCCCTAGTTCAGGCCTAGTTCACGTTCGAGAGAAACAGCCTCCCATTAGTCAGCAAATCCTATCCTATTACTCACCTCAGAACCTGCCAGTGAATTCTCCTCACCTACTGCAGTGTTCATATTGGGCTTTTGAAAAACAGCTGTCCTGCCAAGACTGGTTTGGCTCAGTGGAGAGAGCGTCGGCCTGCGGACTGAAAGGTCCCAGGTTCGATTCCAGCCAAGGGCATGTACCTTGGTTGCGGGCACATCCCCACTGGGGGGTGTGCAAGAGGCAGCTGGTCGATGATTCTCTCTCATCGATGTTTCTAACTCTCTATCCCTCTCTCTTCCTCTCCGTAAAAAATCAATAAAATATAAAAATTAAAAAAAAGAAAAAGAAAAAGAAAAAAAAAAACAGCTGTCCTACTCGGTTTTAAAGGAGAGGTGAACAGGCTTCTTTTGACTAGTTCTCACCTCACCCGAGCCTTTACTATGTTAATGATTATTGTGACTCCTAAGGAGGAGCTGCAGAAAAGAGTTTTTCTTACATTATTTGGCTGGGGAGCTTTCTCTTCACTGAACATCTAACAGAACTATGCCTCCGTAGCATGCATTTTGGTAAACACTGGCTTAAAGGACAAAACCAAAGGCATGTGAGCCATAAGCGTCCTACCCTTTTCCAGGGGCTTCCGCACCCCCACCCCCAGCTTCACTCTTTGCCACTCCTCTCCTCCACACACCCACAAGCAAGCAAACATGCATGCACGCACGCACACACACCACACACACTTACTCCAATATTGAGCACCCTACCACTTTCCAAATATAGCACATCATCTCCGCATACCACAGGATTTGAGTGTAGCTCTCCCTGCCTCCTTCACCTCCTTAACTCTTTCTCCCCTCTTCAGACTCAGCTCACCCACCACCAAAGCCTCCTCCCAAGTCTCCTGTCACCCCCGCACCCTGAGCTCCTGATATCAAACACCTACCGCCCTATGTGTGAATGCCTATTTCTGGATCCCTGGATAGATTGTACATTTCCTGGAAAGTCTCTGCCTACTGTCGTCTTCAAGACTCAAAAACTGAAGAATTTTGTAAAAATCATATTATGCAAAAGGCCCTCAAGACTACAAAGCAAAGGGGTAGATCCCTGTCGTTCAAATGGCCAGATGTGGTTATGCAGAATATCAATGCGGCGACGCCAAACTGAAATTTGCAAAAAAACGGGCCCTAGCAGGTTTGGATCCCTGGATAGAGCATCAGCCCGGGTTCGATTCCGGTCAAGGGCACGTAGTACCTCAGCTGCAGGCTCCTCCCCGGCCTGGGCCCCCGTCAGGACGCCTGCAGGAAGCGACCAATCAATGTGTTTCTCACATCATGATTCTCTCTGCCTCTCCCCCTCCCTTCCACTCTCCCAAAAAAATCAATGGAAAAATGTCTTCGGGTGAGGATTTAAAAAAAAGAAAAAAATAGAAGAAAAAATTTTGGTAAAACTAAAATACCCAGATTTTGAAAACGCAACGCTAAAAATTATGTAAAGCAACTGCAGAATTTTTTTTAAGGCAATAAGACGTGACTCGCATTATATTTCTATTGGACTTGTATGTGCCCTGATCAGGATGGATACAAATATATTTCTGGGGTGGCTACTCTGATGCCCATGTCAGGAACTAGGAAACTGAGTCTCGGGGAGATGAAATGACTCGCCTGCGTGAAACCATGAGTAACACCCCCTTCCCGTAAGGCATCTGAACCCACAATCCTGACTCCAAAGCTGGTATTCATGCCACCTCGCCCTCAGGCACCAGCCGACCATTGCTCAAGAGGAAGGGCGGACTCTCCACCCCCAGCCTCCTGCCTCCCCCCCTCCGCCCCCCCGTCCCCTCCCCCACCCGCCCCCTCCACAGCCGCAGCGCCTGCCACCCGCTCACCATTGCGGGAGAAGTACTCCTCCACGGCACCTCCCAGCCACTCGGCCTTCTCCTGGCTGTGCACACCCCCGAAGCCATTCTCCACGGCGATCTGCGAACACAGGCCCGAGCCCACCACGTCAGCCCGCCAGCCCGCTGGGGGTGACGCAGGAGGCCGCCGCCGAGGACGCCGAGCCGCAGCGCCGTCGCCGGCCGATCCTAGCCTGTCCCGGGCACTAACCATTCCCGTCCCCGATCCCGCTCACCTGCAAGGCCGGCCAGGCCTCCAGCGCCGCGCGGACGCCAGCCCTGAAGAGCGCTCTCAAATCCTCCCCGGCGCCCGCCATCATCGGGCTCTGAGCATGTGATGCGTAGGCGGACCAATCGGCTCGCATCGCGGACCAATCGGATCGCAGGACGGCCCAGGCAGCAGGAGTCGATCGCCGAGCCTGAGAACCCGGACTCATCTTTCCGCTGACCTGGCACGAGACTAGAGCAATAGAGAAGTCTGGCGGAGCAACGGATGACACCATCACAGCTACTGGGCTGCAGTGATTAAACCAGAGGAAGCCAGAAGCCCAGGAGGATGGCGTGCGGCCAAGGGTTCTGAGCCCCTGGGTTCGAGGGCCAGGGCCATGTTTACTGCGCAGAAAAGATGTGGGGTCCCTGGTTGGGTAGCTCAGTTGGTTAGAGCCTGGCCTGGATATGCCAAGGTTGCGGGTTCCATCCTGATCAGGGCACATACAAGTATCAACCAAGGAATGCATCAACAAGTGGGAGAAAAAATTGATGTTTGTCTGAAATAAGTAAACAAACAAATAAATATCTCAAACATAACCTAACCTTCCACTCTAGGAAACGAGAAAACACACACACACACACACACACAAAATAACCTCAAAGCAAGCAGAAAGAAGGAGATAAAGATCGGAGAGGAAATAAGTAGTATAGAAAAACAATGGGGGGGAAATCAGTTAAACCAAAGGTTGGTTATTTGAAAAGATCAAAAACATTGACAAACTTAGCACAGTGGGTAATGAAAGAGAGAGAGAGAGAGAGGACTCAAGTTATGGAAATCAGGATGAAAAGGCAGCATCACTTATGACTAGTCAAAAAAGACCACATTGTATACCATTTATTTTTTTTGTATGATACCATTTATAAGAAATGTACTGAACAGGCAAATCTATAGAGATAGAAAATAGATTAACGTTTACCCAGGGCTTAGGGAAGGGAGAAATGAGGTCTGACTCCTAATAGGTATAAGCTTTCTTTTGGGGGTGATGAAAATGTTCTACAATTACATGCTATAGGGGCTGAGCTGTAACACACACAAACACACACACACACACACACACACACACACCTCATATGTTGAAAACCTAACCCCCCAATACCTCAAAATGTAGAAATATATTTGGAAATAGAGCCTTTAAAATGATAATTATCACTGATAAGGGTTTAATCTCCAAAATTTACAGGGAACTCATACAACTTAACAAAAGGAAGATAAACAACCCAATCAAAAAATGTGCAATGGGCCAAAACCGGTTTGGCTCAATGGATAGAGCGTCGGTCTGCAAACTGAAGGGTCCCCGGTTCGATTCCGGTCAAGGGCATGTACTGTGGTTGCGGGCACATCCCCAATGGGGGATGTGCAGGAGGCAGCTGATCGATGATTCTCTCTCATCGATGTTTCTGACTCTCTGTCCCTCTCTCTTCCTCTCTGTGAAAAATCAATAAAATATATATATATATTTTTAAATGGGCAATGGACCTAAATAGGTACTTTTCAAAAGAAGACATAAGGAAGGCCAAGAGACATATGAAAACATGCTCAAAGTCACTAATCATCTAAGAGATGCAAATCAAAACAACAATGAGGTAACACCTCACACCTGTCAGAATGGCTGTCATCAACATATCAACAAATGACAAGTGCTGGTGAGGATGTGGAGAAAAAGGAACCCTCCTGCACTGCTGGCGGGAATGCAGACTGGGGCAGCCACTGTGGAGAACAGTATGGAGTTTCCTCAAAAAACTGAAAATGGAACTCCCATTTGACCCAGTGTTCCCATTTCTAGGAATATAGCCCAAGAAACTAGAAACACCTATCAGAAAGGATATATGCACCCCTGTGTTCATAACAGCACAATTCACCATAGCTAAGAGCTGGAAACAGCCTCAGTGCCCATCAGCAGGTGAGTGGATTAGAGAACTGTGGTGCAGCTACACAGTGGCATACTACGCTGCGGTAAAGAAGGAATTCTTACCGTTTGCAGCAGCATGGATGGACCTGGAGAGCATTAAGCTAAGTGACATAAGCCAGTCAGAGAAAGATAAATATCACATGATCTCACTCATTTGTGGAATATAATGACCAACAGAAACTGATGAACAAAAACAGATGCAGAGACAGAGAAGCATCCATCAGACGGTCAAACCTCAGAGGGCAGGTTGGGGAAGGTGGGGGTAAGGGGGGGGAGATCAACCAAAGGACTTGTATGCATGCATATAAGCCTAACCAATGGACACAGATACCAGGGGGTGAGGGCATGGGGGGGGGCTCACTGGGGGAATAAGGACACATAGGCATAATAATACCTTCATCAATAAAGAAAAAAGAAAAAAAATAAAGTAATAAGGTAAAATGAGCCATATTAGTACATCCTAATCTAATATGACTGGTGTGATAGTAAGAAGAGATCAGGACACGCAGAGACAGCAGACACATGCATGCATGGAGAGATGACCGTTGAACACAGAAAGTGGCCATCTGTGCGCCAAGGAGGAAGGCCTCAGAAGAAACCACACCTGCTAACACCTTGATCTTGAACCTCCAGCTTCTAGACTTTAGAGAAAATAATTTTTTGTTGTTGAAGACATCAGTCTGTGGTATTTTGTTATCACAGCCCCAGCAAACTAATAATTACACAGCACTGTGCATATACTAAAAACCATTGAATTGTACACTTTTAATAAGGGAAACAAATATTTCAATAAAGCTGTTCTTGGAAAAGTATTGTAGATGACTTTCTCTCACAACAGTGATTGTAAACTAAGGACTAGATCCTTGTTAACAAACAGTCTGATGATTCTGTGCCTGGCCCTGTGCGGAATGGTGTTGGGTCATGGGGTTTGGTCAGATGCTCAGGGGGGCCATTCTGGAGTGCAAGATTTGTTCAAGGACCATAGAGTATGATCAGTGCTCAGGGGAAATTTAGGTTTTAAAGAGCCTGAAGCAGATGGAATTTTGCAAGCTCTGTTTAAGAAAAATAGTACAGCCGAAACCGGTTTGGCTCAGTGGATAGAGCATTGGTCTGCGGACTGAAGGGTCCCAGGTTCGATTCCGGTCAAAGGCATGTACCTTGGTTGCAGGCACATCCCCAGTAGGAGGTGTGCAGGAGGCAGCTGATCATTATTTATCTCTCATCGATGTTTCTAACTCTCTACCCATCTCCCTTCCTCGTTGCAAAAAATCAATAAAACCTATTTTAAAAAGAAAATAGAAAAATAGTACAGCCCAGGCCAGTGTGGCCCAGTTGGTTGTCACCCCATGCACCAAGAGGTCCCTCCTGGTCAGGGCACATGCCCAGGTTGTGGGCTCACTCCCCAGTAGGGGGCCTGCAGGAGGCAGCCCATAGATGTTTTGATCACCTGAATGGAATGGAATTCTTTGAAGTCTCTCTAGGAAATGTTATTATAAAATAGTTGTTTTCTCTCTCCCTCTCCTTTCCTCCCTCTAAAATCAAATGTTTTAAAAAGAGAAATTGTATCAATTTAGGTATGATAGTAAACATTGCTTTAGATTTACAAAGATATCACAAATGATACAAATTACAATTTTTAAAGTGCATTTATCTACATAAACATCCTCAAATCCAGAAAACCAAAATATTCTTATCAATTGCCTGACTCACCCCTCTGCTAATGTTTCCATTTTTTATATTCTCTTATAAATAAGTAGGACAATTATTTTATAATAACAACTCCTAGAGAGAATTAAAAAAATTCAATTCCATTCAGGTGATCAAAACTTTTTTTTAAAATATTTGCTTTTATTTTTTTTAATATATTTTACTAAATTTTTTACAGAGAGGAAAGGACAGGGATAGAAAGCTAGAAACATCAATGAGAGAAACATCGATCAGCTGCCTCCTGTACACCCCCCACTGGGGATGTGCAGGCAACCAAGGTACACGCCCCTGACCGGAATCAAACCTGGGACCCTTCAGTCCGCAGGCCGACGCTCTATCCACTGAGCCAAACCAGTCAGGGCCAAAACTTTTTTATTATTGGTATGTTTAGAAAAGTTTCACCCTCGCAGCTCGTTATGAGTAATGTGAATTTTAAGATTGTTGCCAAATTTGGGAAAACCTCTAGCTAGTTTCTCTTCCACGTGAGCTGTAAAATTTCAGGGTATTGAACTATTCTTGTGCCATGACAAATCTTAAATACGTTTCAAATGGACGATGCCCAATAAAACAATCAGGGACTCTGAAGTGGCCTGTGGCATTGCGGGGCACTGAGGCTCAAGCCTGATTAGTTCTCCAGCTCCTGGCAAAGCCGGAGGAGAAAGGAGACCAAGACAGACCAGCAGGGGGGGTCCCTGACCCAGCCGTGGGGGTTGTGGCAAGCCTCTCAGAGATGACACCAGGGGCCATGCAAAGTTGAAGAGGCATTTTGCCAGGCGGTGGGCAGTGTGTGTGTACGAGGGAGGGGGTCTCACTAAAAGGAAGAAATAACCTTTCGGGCCGTAGCAACAATGTGCATACAAAGACTCGGAGGCAGGAAACAGCATTATGTGTGATAAGAAGAGTGGACATTCCAAGACTGATAAACTCAGGAGGAATAACTCCTACCGAGCTCCAGACCCTCATCCCAGCAGATGCAGCCATTTCAACTCAGCAATTTAGATGGAGTTCAAAGTAGCCCAAATGGAGACACTGAGATTAGGCACCTCTGCCTGAGTTCCTAGGATCTGAGACCTCAAACGTACATGGAGGGGGTAGATTAGATTCTGGTCACCAGTTCCACTGTGTGCATGGGGGAAGCCGGGGCACGGGGTGGGGGTGATTTCCCTCACCACCAAGCAATTCTCCGACATCAACTGGGTGTCCTACAATTCAGCTCCATTCTGACACCAGCTGTAGGTACTGTCAGATACCATAGGTCAGTGTTTCCCAAACTTCTCTCATGATGAGAATCACCTGGTGGAGTTGTTAAAACAGATTCCTGAATCTCAACTGAGAAGTGCTAAACTAGAATTTTTGGGAACATATAGGTAAAATTGTACACTAAGAAAGAGCACTAAGTTAAGTATACAATTTTACCTATATGTTCCCAA